GAACCAGTAGTGGAAATTTTGAGTAGTTTGGAGAACTGGCAAACAGTCTGGCCCCATCCCCGTTGCCTCGCAGCTGATCTTCTTTTGTTGCCCTGAACAGGAGAATGGAGCTGGAAAGCAGGTTATTGGGGAGGGAATGGGGATTTTGCAGTATCCTTCCCCTGCCACGCCCACAAAGCCACACCCACAGAACTGGTAGAAAAGTTTTTTCAATTTCATCACTGATACAGGACCATATTCCTATATTTTGTGATCAAGGCTAAAAGCTTTCTTGTGTCTCTCCTTTCCCCCAACTTCTGAACATAAGCAAGCAGTTCCTGAGCATTTTAAACACTGTTCTGCTGAAGGGGTTGCATTCATGTTGACTGTAAATGCAGTGCGATTTTTCTTTTTGCATTTTGTTTCTTTAACATGGGTTGATCTTTTTCTTTCGTGAGACAAGTAGCAAGTAGAGCCTAAATGCACTCTTCATAATCCTGTAGCAAATCTGTATTTTATTTTCAGACTTTGTACCCAAGAATGGAAGAAGCTATCCTAAGACAAAAACGATTATAGTAAAAAAGGTTGATGAATTAACTTTCTCCGGATCTAAAGTTAACGTGATATTGCATGGATGATACACAATAGAAAATATTCCATAGACTTACCTCTAATTCATAACCTAAATTGCATTTATAAAGGACAGTATCTTTGTAATTGTATTGGTTGCCAATCACAACCCCGTATTCGGGAGCTTCGGGTTTTCCACAGGAGACCAGAGTGCAGATCTCATTTGAAAATAATGGTGCCCAGGTCCCATTGTGCTGAAAGAAGAGGAAAGCATCTTTGGCTTTGCTAACCAATGAAAATAATTACAAACAAGTTAAATTATACGTAAAAGAGCCTGTTTAGTGTAGAGATTACAACACTGGACTAAAAACCATTAGGATTGCAGGTTCTTCCCTAATCATGAAAACCAGTTGGCTCATTTTGGCCCAGTTATACTTCTTAGCTTAATCCAATTTCTAAAGTTGTTACTGAGGAGAAAATAGAAGACGAGGGCCAGGCGTACCTCAATTTATACAAAATAAAGGTAAATGTTTCCCTGTCCAGTCCAACTCTAGGGGGAAGTGTTCATCTCTGTTTCTTAGCCAAGGAGGCCAGTGTTGTCCGAAGGCACTTCCATGATCATGTGGTCAGCATGACTAAACACCAAGATGCACACAACACTGTCATCTTCCCATTTATCTCTTCACATTTGAATGCTTTCGAACTGCTATATGGGCAGGAGCTGGGGCAAGGAAGGGGAGCTCACCCCATCACGTGGCACTCAGGCCTTGAACCCAGGTTGTCAGCTTTCCAGTTGACAAGCTCAGCATCATCAACTGCTGAGCCATTGTGTCCCCACCCCTGACAAAATAAAGGCAGGATAAAAAACCTAATACAAATACTAATTAAAAAAACCAAACTCCTTATATTGTTAGGGAACACTTTTTATTTTCCTTTGCGAAGAACAGGGACAGAACTACTTTAGGCAGATAGGAAACATATAACAGATGTTATATGTGTTGTTGGAGTCAAGCAGTGCACTCCAGCTATTTGCACTCTACCTATAGCCAATGTAGCATGTCATTTGTTTGCTGCCAATCTCTTATATGTTATTTCAATTAAAAGTGCACTGATGGGTTTGGAAAAGGGGAAGAATGCAGAATTGTGTAAGAGAATGCAAGCAAGAATATTTACAGAAACGTTGAGTTATTTCAGGAACTGTGAATATGCAGCACAGTAATGTACAGGGGTCAAAGATCTACAGTAGATTAACACAAAAGGAAGTATGATTTATGCTTTTTCTATCAGAAAAACATACATTTCAGCAGAACAAGATTATTTCACACAAGGTTACTATTGGGTTGAATTATTTTTGAACCATTGCAAATATCAAGTTTTAGAAAGAACTAGTCTGCAGTCATTAGGAACAAGTTTTCCACTAAATTATTAAATCATATTCTATTATCTTCTGAACATTCTGAAGCCTGGGTCATTCCATCCTAAATAATAAACGGGGTAATCAGAGATTTGTTGATCAATGCAGAATCGCTACAAAGGATGAAATGCATGGACAGACAAAATGGATTTTTTTAAAAAATAACTGAAGGCAGGACCATATAATTTTAACCATTTTTATCCCAAAGCAAAATAAACAAATGGCATATATTTTATGGTAAATATGATGTCTGTTACTGAATTAATAGTCAGAGGAATATGACCAATAGTGACAATATGGCAGATTGTCACTATTGATATATGGCTATAACACAGGGCTTTCCATAACCAAAACAAAACTGATTGGAGGAAAAAAATATTTACCTGGCAAATGGAAGTGCTGGTACCCATCAAAAGATAACCTTCTGGACACGATAAGGTAATGCTTTTATTCACAGTAAATTCAGTACCAGAAATAATAACATTGGTTATATTTGGTGGCATGGGACATTTTGTGGGGCAACAAGAAATAGTGTTAGGGAACCAGTGCCCATCTTCCTGACACGTGCATATATCCACTTCTGTCTCTATCATATAACCCTCCAGACATCTGAAACAAGGTAAATTTTTGTCATCCATATGAATTGTTGTACATTCCGCATTAACAATTCTTCCCCTTTAGTTATGTGCCCTGAGATGCAACAACTGGCAATTTTAGTTCAAAACAAAAAAACATTAAAAATCCTTCAGGGACCTACCTACTCCTGCAAATGTTTGTTTGGTGGAAGAACAAGCTTAGTAATAGTCACCAAAAAAATAATATGACTGATAACTGTTAACATATTGACTACATCATTCATAGAGACTTTCATCTTTTTGCTGGACTGGGTATTGCTAACCTTCCTGCCTGTGCCTCGCTTCTGTTTCAGATAATGTAGAATCTCTGCAGAATTGTGTCTTATTGATTCAAAAGTGAGGTGACCAGACGTCCCGATTTCAGCGGGACAATCACGCTTTATAACAATTTGTCCCGTGTCTCGGGCCGTTTTTAAAAAGTCCCGATTTTCTGGCTTCATGTTGAAAGCCCAGTGGATTTGCTTAAGAAATCCTAACTGGGGCAAGACAAAAGACACCCTGTCTAACCTCTCTCTCTCTGTCTCAGTACTTTCATTGAAGATATAATTAAAATGTTAAAGCAACAAAACGGACCCCCTCACCTTTTTACCTCATTTTATAAGAAAAAATGA